TGATCAACATACAAGCTTCTCTTGGTATTAGCTTGGACAGTTCTTTGTTCTGCCTTTTACCACCAAGCTACAGATCCATAGGTTATCATAGGTCTAATAACCATGGCATAAAGCCGAAACATTTGCTTAGGCTTCATTCCTCACTTCTTTCCACAGACCCTTGCAAATATAAGGGTGAGGAGAGAGAGGAAGCATATATCACAAAAACTAATGTCATCACCCCTTATTCTGATTCTTGGCCAGAGGCTACACGCGTAACCTCTGCAAGTACCACATCATAGATTTCTTTAGGTGCTGAGGTCAGCCTTGAGGCTCCCAGTACTCAACGTGACTTAAAGCATTGTAGCGAGATGTGCATTTTCGAGTCAGTGAAGAGGCGTATCTTCAGTTTCCTCCATTTTGCTTTCTTCAGTGAGCGAAAGAGAATTGTAAAGATCCAAACATTGGAAATAGGTAACACGGTGGCGGTTTTGTCGCTCTCGCTACTGCCGGGCCATGCCGCGATGAATAGAAAGACGTGGCATAGCTGACAACCAGAGATGATTGTCTCTGGTATGTACTTGTGCGAATGCTCATTTTCTTGCAGGTAAAGCTTGGATTTAGTACATTCTGGTGATGCCGTTGACTGTACACGATATCTCAGTCAAGCCTTACTGAAATCACTTAAATTTTTATATTTTTAACTAGTTTTTTCTTGAATTCTTTTATACTCAACAGAATAAAATCACCCCTTTTGAAAATATTACAAAATATCGCTAAATAGTAGGTAATGCTAATAATAAAAGGCATACTTTTTGCTAAAGTGCATATTCACTATGGGTATAAATACGAAAAGGGTAATTGAACAGGACATAAATAATCCGCAAACTATCAATAGATGTCAATAGTTTCGCGTAACTTGGAGCAATTTTTGTGCTTTCCAAATGCGTTTTACGAACGATGAAGCTGTTGATATGCTTGCAGTTTATTTTGAATGTCTTCAGAATGCCGTAGTAGCAAAAAGAGTTCACTTGACTTGATATCCAAATCGGCGTCCTTGCGATGTGACAGTTTCTCCCCAATTAGTGGCGAGCTTACGAGACAATGGTAGACTTCGGCGTAACTTTCAACGCCAAAGAATTGGAAGAAAACAAGAAAATATTAACCGCGTACTGGGATATATTGAAAGTAATCCTCAAGGCATTACCCTTGAGTTGGGCATATCATGGACAACGATTCAAGCTAATTTGAAGGAGCGTAGGCAAGTTATAATGATCATCAGAATGTAGAGAATTATTCAAATCTAACGTTTTTTTAATTACCTTTAGAATGCACCTACATCATGTGCATCAGGCCTTGGAAGAGGAAGACTTTGGTCGGAGGTTGTACTGTTGCCATTGGATGATTGGCTTGATACGTGAAAATAGATAATTTTTGTTTCAAATTCTTTGGACCGATGAAGAAACGCTTAATACTGAGGGGATAGTTAATCTGCACAATATGCATTATTGGTCTGCAGAATATCCGCATTGGTTGCGTGAAATTCTGCACCAAGGGCGTTCGACTTTAAATGTGTGGCGTGACATACTGGGAGGCAGAATTATGGAGCCATATTTTTTCAAGCAATCCCTAAGTAGCCATGTCTTTTTTGACTTTCTGGACAATCAGTTACCGTTGCTGTTGAAAGATCTGCCACGGAAGAACATGTTTTTGCAGTTGGAGCACATTTTGCTATTATTGTGCGAGAGCATATTAATGCAGTATTTCAACAGCATTGGATTGGAAGAGGAAGTCTGTTTCCATGGCCTTCATGATCTCCAGACTTGACTTGTCTTGATTTTTATTTATGGGAGCGGTTAAAGGACAACGGATTTTAGAGTCAAGTTAAAACCAGAAAAGGTATGAGAAACCGAATTCGTAATGCAAGACGTATCACACTGAGAGTCGAAATTGAAGCTGTAGTTTTGCCTACCCATGAGAGGCTTCAGGAATTTAAAGCATTTAAGGGGGAATTAAAAAAATTTATTTTTCAAATCGGTATTTTTAAGGGCTAAGGTTCCAGGAAAAATAGTTAAACAAAAATAAAATTCAAGGGATTTCCGTATAAAACTTTCTTTGGCCCAAATTTTAGGTTATGAACAAGATATCGAAATGCGGTTTTCACGAGCTAATTGAGACATCATTTCTTATGAACAAAAGCCTACCAATGCATTTAATTTTTTTGGGAAATCAATCATTTCTGTCGGAATGCCGAAGAAGGCCCTCTAGCGGCACACGTGAATATAATGAAAACTTCAAATATTACAACCTTTGTAGCCGAAAAATAGCTCAATTTTGTTGCAATCAGCTTAGCCGTTGCGAAGATAGGAGACGTTTCTTACGGAAACTTTTGAATACCCTCCACCACTCTATTTTTGGAGTTACAACAAATATTATCAAACAAAAAAGGTTCATATTATCCTCGAATTTAAAGATCCAGAATTTTTTGTTATTATAACGGAATTCACAGAACTATCCCTTTTTAAATTCAAGATGGCAGCGGCCATTCCAGAAACTTGAAAATATTTTCCAGGTCTCTCTCTGGTCCGCTTTAGTAATAACTCTCTCTGCGATCGATAGGTTTCCAGATATAGTACCTCGCATCCTTAGTTGGCTACTTTGTAGATTGCAAAAAATGCGTGTAAAACCACATTCTATGTCATGTAAATAGTCCTCAGATTGTTATTGGCAAATAAACAGCTGCTTCATTTCGGGAAAACATCGTGCGATCCTTTTGTGATAACTCACAATACTAACTTCTTGTATATTTTCCTTCCTTGGTACTGTGGAACCGTAAGAAGACTCCAAAAATTACAGTACAACCATATCAGTGCTGCTTTCTCAGAACTAGAGATTTGAGACAATTGTAAATCTTCAACATGCTCACATATACTCACAGACCTTTAGACAGATCTGTGCCCCTGTTTTTGAGAGAGAAACTGATCGCGTGCAGAAAAATAAATTCCCGAAATATAAGGTACAATAACACGATAATAAATCCACACCGCAGAACTTCTTTCTTTCGGAGTAGCTTCAGATGTAATGCCATTCAGATGCGTAACTCTGCCTGGCAGCTATAGGCCATTGTCAGTTAGTAAATTCAACTCAGAAGTTGCTGGCATAAATTACTACTCTTTCGTGTCACATCCTCGATGTTTATGTCTATATTTTATATATATATATATATATATCATATCGTTAGTCTCTTTTTGGTATGAACGTTCCTTATTCATATACTAAGTGACATATAAATCCGAACACCCAGTTCAAATGGTTTTATTTAATAAAAGTTGGTGAATGTATTTATCTTACTGTAAATAACAAGTGAAAAAATTTTCAGCCTTATCAGTTGGACATTCCGGTTTTTATACTGCTTTTTTTTAATTTACTAACGCTCTAAAAATGAATATTCTGCCGCAGTAAAGAATCAACGTTGGCGGATTTTGGTTCTTGACATCCTGTACGATCGGTTACGATGCCTAGAGTACGGAGACCTGTACGATTTCGTCAACTTAGTGAGTTTGATAGGGGCCGTATAGTGGGACTTCGGGAAGCTGGACTTTCTTTTCGGGCAATTGCAGTTAGAGTGCAAAGGAGTGTAGACACTGTGGTTAGGTGTTGTCAGGCATGGCTTCGAGAAGGCCGTACGCAAAGAGCAAGGGGCACTGGACGCCGCCGTAGAACAACAGACCGTGAAGATCGCCGCCTAAGATTATTGGCCTTAAGGGACCGTTTCTCCACTACCAGGTCCATTGCAAATGAATGGTTTGCAGAACACGGAAGACCTATTGGCATGCGAAGTGTTTATCGACGAATGAGAAGTTTTGGCTTGTTTTCATACCGGCCACACTGGGTCCTCCCTTTAACTCGGGGACACCGACGTAATCGCCTTGAGTGGTGCAGACAACGGTCACTCTGGGATCAGGAATGGAACAGTATTGTCTTTAGTGACGATTCTCGATTTTGTTTAGGCATGCACGATGGTCGTGCCAGGGTTAGAAGGCGACGTGGTGAAAGGAGGAATCCACAGTTTTTTGTTGAAAGACATGTTCATCACACTGTTGGAGTTTGGGGTGCTATAGCTTATGGTTCCAGGTCACCTTTAATCTTCATCAGAGGTAACATGAACGCGCAGCGTTATATCCACGAAGTTCTCGAACCCCATCTTTTACCCTATCTTGACATCCTGGCAGATCCAACTTTCCAACAAGATGATGCCCGACCACATGTTGCAAGAGTCACAATAGACTTCTTTCAACATAATGATGTCTAATTGTTACCATCGCCACCAAGAAATCCCGACTTCTCCCCAATTGAGCACCTGTGGGATATGATGGGTAGGAGATTGCTCAATTTGCAACGTCCTCCTCAGACTCTAGAAGCACTTCGAGAGGAGTTGGTGGTTGCCTGGAATGAGATACCACAGGAGGACATTGACCACCTGATCAGAAGCATGCCTAGGCGCGTTGGAGAATGCGTAGCACATCAGGGTGCATCCACACATTATTAAAGGCCAAAGGGCTTTAAAGCAGTGCAATCATTTTGAAATTTTTACCATTTACTTATTATGCTTCATTAAGTACTTATACAAAATTTTATTAAAATAAAACCATTTAAACTGGGTGTTCGGATTTATATGTCACTTAGTATATATCTACCTTGATCAGATGTATGGACACTAACAAGACAACTGATTTTTTGCCAGGTCCCTGCGACTGTCAGATGTTACAGAAAAACCAATCAATTGGATTTTTTGTGCAAGATTGTTTGCAGTTGATTAATTTTATGCCAAGTTTTGGCAATTGCAGGAAAAAGACAAAAATAATCAGCTGGCTTGTTAGTGCGTATGCGTCGGATCAAGATTTCTCTTGCATTTCGCTGTCTGTAAAAGTAAAAGGTGCATTGTATCATTATTATCACTGTACCGGACCACTGAATTTCTACAAATAACGTAGCATGATGGCACTACTACGTTAGATATAAGTGAAAGTAATACGAACCAGAAAAAAATCGGTAGTACGATTTGCTTATTTCGGTGCGAACACAGCAAAGTAGGAAGTTATCACAGATCGCTTTTAGTATAATGTCACTTGTCAAACCAAAATAATATCCTTTCATTTTAAAGTACACAACTACTCTGGCATCCCAGGTATGTGAATCTACTTTATAAATAACAAACTAGCATGACGGCGCACTTTAAATATGATTAAATAATAGCATGTAATAGTATATAAAGGTCTACGCAGTCGACTAAACGCATCTATCCCGGTAGACTGTTGTTGCGTTCGCCGTTTGTTCCTTCCGGTAAAAATGGTGCTTTCAATGGACAGGTGGGTGGACAAAGTGGCTATAGTGACGGGAGCCAGTTCCGGCATTGGAAAGGCAATTGCTGAACGATTGGTTGAACAAGGGATGAAGGTGAGTAACGTCGTAGACATCTTGCGTCTTCCAACTTAGTAGTTAAGATATAACATGCACAAAGGAATGGTTTAAAACTATTTTTGAAACAGTTTTACGATAGATTTGTATATCCATTTATTTCTGTTGTCAAATTAAGTTGTACAAGTTTGTACAAAAGTAGGTTTTATTTGGAAGTCTTTTGTTTCATCATAACTTGTTTGTGTACTCATAGCAGTAATACTGCCTAGTTAAAGTTGCTCTTCCCACTAACTTGTTCACAAAAGTTTGCAATAAAATCCTCTTGTAGATCTTACTACTACCCAGTCAACACATATCTGTAAAGACTGACAAATTTCCAATAAGTATGAGTAATACACTTATTCCTAGCGATCTGGAGAGACGAAGGTTAAATGCAGGGTATTTTATTGGTAGATGGAGATACTTCAACCACGCGTAGATGAATTTGTCGTGAACACGAATAATCTATGGTTGGTGGATCCTTATTCATTAATAAATGAGGTACAAGGAGTTTTATTGATTTTGGCGTCCATTTAGTTATGGCCTCACAACCAGTTATATCCTTCTGAAAGTTGGTTCGCCTTGTCATTTTGTGCTAGCGAATCGACCACTATAGCAACACAGCGAAGATACCGTAACTGATAGCATGACCGTCCACTAAATCTAACACAAATGTAGTGCATATAATCGTAAGCCTTACCTAATAGACCATAGTCCAAGGTCTGTAACTTTGTACTCCAAAGTAAACAAAATCACTATCATCAGCTCGTACAAGATTATCTGTTTCAATAACAAGAGTGGATCATCAGAATGAAATATATGTGCTATTTCGAAGAACGTGAACGAAATTAGGAAATCCCAACGTACAGGGTGCTGGTTTTGGACAAAACGGTTTTGTCAAGTTTTAACTAGTCCGGTACTATACTTCTTTTCATGTTGGTAAAACATGGTTGGTTATAAGAGGCTGAAGCCTATCTATATACAATAGCTTACTTATAATCACCTCCGTGTTCTTGATCCTTGGTTAAAATATATCGCTCTCCTAATAAAATACTCCGTATATGATTAATCTTTATATCAACTTTCGTGCACTCTTATGACTATCAGCGGTTGCATAATTTGAGATAACAACTCCATTGCCAGTTACACTATCAGATAAAATATAATTAGTGTGAGATGTTAAACATGTGAATACTTCCAAGATGATGACATATTTCGTAATCTCTTAATGCACTGTCCTCATCTCGAGTCAACAGACCTCCTTCCAGTAGAAGTTTTATCTCATTTTTAGTCATTACTGACTAACGGCTTTACGAATATATTGAAGTCTATTGTATTTTGCTTTTGTTAGGTAGTGGGGGTCGCTAGAAGGAAAGATCGTCTAGATGAATTAGCACAAAAGACATCTGGCAAAAAAGGAAAATTATATCCAATACAAGGAGATGTGACCAAGGAAGAAGATATTATGAGGGTATTCAAGTGGGCGAAAGATAACCTGGGACCAGTGCATGTATTGGTCAACAATGCTGGTGTACTTTGTAACTCTGCAATTGAAGATGGGAAGACGGAAGATTGGCTACAAACTATTAACGTTAATGTAGTTGGATTGTGCATGGGGACCAGGTAAATATTTGATCTTACCTCTCTATGTCTCAAGTGCCTTCCCTCACCGGGACTCCATGGCGATGTCGCTAGCAGCCGTAGGCAAACTAACCTATTCCCTGAAAGTAAACCTGGTTCCCGTCCGATTTAGGTCCAATTTTGGTTGGTAGGGCAGGTTTCTAAATTGGACGTCCTCGAACGTCCCATTGAGATCTTATTTTTCTTACTGTTTTGCAAGTGCTCTCCAGGAAATTGAATACTGATACGATAATGATCAATATGGTTAAAATCGTATTGTTGTATATAATAGTTCCAAATTTATCAAATAGTATTTTGTTTTAAGGCTGCGTCATCATGTAATTTTAGTTTGTCGCCTGTGAGGACATCTATAAAGGGTAAAAACTTAATAGCTCTTATTGGTATGAAATAAAATAGACCTACCTGTAACACCGCAGTACGGCCACGGTCTTCTTCCAACACTATACATGAGTTTCTGTTGCAAGCACGTTTCCAAAACTAGCAAGTACGTCTTTTTGATCGTAAGTTCAATAGATATGAGTGTAAACTAATAATTGCCGTCTCGCAGAGGCAATGCTTTCGTCCAGCGAGGGAGTTCCAATTTCTAATTTGGCAACTAGGTGAAATATTTTCAAGGAAATGCGATGCGCCGATGTATGCGGCGCATGCGCAGAAGTGTGTCGTCATTTTTCCGCCAATATCCTAGTTAGTTGGATTTGTAGCTGTTGCACCGAATTCTTGCAAGCTCACTTTATTCCAAGGTAGGCTTGCTCTTGCTTCTTCGTTCATGTTGATTGTTATTGCATAAGTTTGCTCGTTTAGGATGTTTTATTTGTGTTGTAGCAAGGTGTAACAGATTATTAGGAATTCCTTCTAAGATATCCAGAAGTTTAATTACCTGACGTCAACGGAAGACACATAACTTTGATTTGGTTAATATTGCCCTAATGTTGTCTCATTTGCAATGGGGAAAATGTTCCAAAAAAACGAGACTCCAAAATGCCTTGTCTTCATTCATTTCTAGTACATGTACAATAATAAAGTACAATAATATAACTACAGGCCTATAAATAGCCCTGCTTTCTATTATAAGTAAAGTAATGGAGAGGTGCATGAATCGAGAGGTTCTGGATTACATCGAACGCTACGGTTTGATTAGTACATGGCGGTATGGTTACCGGCGTCAGGTATTCCACAGGGGATCTCCTACGACAAGTTCTCCTCTTCATCCACAATGTCAACGCGGTTGTTCCGCAGGGATTGGTCTTAGCTCCTTCACTGCTCCTCTTACATATCAACGATCTCCTTTCCTGTATGATCAATCCATTCCAGAGCTTATCTGAGGAATAACAAGTGACTAAAATAGTTTTATTAAGAGACAGCACTCTTCATGCAAGAAATCAGAGTGTCAGGCCGATCTCTGCCGATGAGCTAGAGAAAGGAAGACTAGCAGCGACTTCCTCTCTGACGAGAGATCTGAAAGTTGTCACCGTTTGGAGACACAACAATCTTGTGATGCTTCCAAATCACAGTACTCTACCTTGACACCAAAAAGCGCCATAGCGTGATGTGCCCGTCAGACAGACCCGCTTGACTTCCGCCCCCCATCCAAACGATGTCAAACTTCGTTCATCAACAGGTCAATACGACCGCTCATTTGTTCCTAGGGCATCAAGAACATGGAACAATTCATAGGCAGGTAAAAAATCGGATTAATAAAGTTTATTTAAGCTCCTCATAGCAGCCGCGGTGCCTTGGCATTTAGGCTTCTGACTGCGTACCTGCTTCGGTGTAACAAAAAATCGTAAAACATTTGTAGTACACATTAATGTATGGGTAGTTTGTGAGCGATCAATGTTGTTGGGCGTCATGTACTTTTTATGTGTTATTCTGTAGAGGTAGGTGTCTATTTAATCATTTCTCTATTATACGGAATAATGTATGTATATGTTATTGTGTTTTTGTCTCACTGATCCATCTTTTCAAATAACGAATAAAACAGATCATATCTCAAAGTATAACGGGAATCGGAATACCTGTTATGGACCATGTAGCGTCTCCATTTGTAAGTGCATTTTATTTTTTGTGGCTATGCACTTGGAGAAAAAGAAAAGCCTATTGGACTTTTTCGCGTCAAAATTGGTTCCATTATTTGTGCTATTATGGTTCAAATATATTGCAGTACTCCGATGTGACAATATTTTGGTAGCGTATCCGTCCCGTATTTCAATAGGTCGCTTAGGTTACGGTTGATGGCGACAACGTCATGACGTCTCGATGAAGGAGACCAGTAGAAAAGCTGCTGTCTAGTTTACCACTTTTCGATCTGCCGATCTACCGTCTCTTTTGCAGCCCTTGAACGGGCATTCTTTACTGACATACGATCATGCCATTCTTTGTCTTTCCTTCAATCCACCCTTCCAGGACAATTGACAAGTCCACAGTCCCCACAAAAAGATTGCCATTCGTTTCTGTCGTGAAGAAACAGACATCTTTGGCTACAGAAAGGATTGGCCTGATTGGATGACAGCAAAGAACGCTCTTGAGACCAACAAGCTGATAATACGTTGATAATTACAGAGAAGCGATCAAAGATATGAAAGAGCACAACATCGATGGACACATCTTCAACATCAATAGCGTTGCAGGACACTTCGTTTTTAATTATCCAAAATTAGAAATTTACACAGCAACAAAATATGCGGTCACCTCCTTAACAGCATCTATGAGGCAGCAACTGGCGAACCAAAAATCGAAAATCAGGTTGACGGTAAGAATTATTACATGCATCAAGCCATTGTTTTCCTAATTTCTGGTTAGCCTTGAAATGAAGGTCTCGGTCTGGGTGCGTGACTTAACAAAATTAAATACCTATTTGTTGTATGATTAGAATTAATTTATATTTACTATTAGAGTGAGTTCTCAGGACTGCGAGACGTACCATTTTTTCTGAAAAACTAGATGTGGGGCATTGGGAAGAGTTGATATGTACGTTCAGCGCCAACGCAGGTGTTGTCTTATATTTGTCTGCTCTAGGATCTTGGAGTAGTACTGAGGCATAAAGGATGTACATGTAAAAGCTCAGAGACTATTATTGTTAAAGATTATTTTTCGATTAGCTTCGTTTGACTAGGAAATGTCTAGTTTCACTTCCAGTTATCTAAATATATCGAGTAGTCATTATCTCAAACAGAATACCGCGGAAATAATGATATCTCTAACTTATGTAATTTAAAATTTTATTGGTTTCGTTCCAGAGTATTAGTCCAGGCTTGGTTGACACAGAAATCGTTGCGGGTCTAGATTTGAGTATCACAACTGGAGGTCCACCGTCGTTGAAGTCGGAGGATATTGCTGACGCCATAGAATATGCTTTATCGACACCACCACATGTACAGGTAACTCAGGGTCTCATTTATAAGCATTCCTTGAGGACTGAATGCCGTTTGAGCAATTGATCTTAACCGAACAATGACTAAATTTTAAAAAATTACAGTTCTCAGAATGTTCCTGCTTAAGAATTTGATTTAAAAACATTCAGAATTTTCTAAATTTTCTTTAGTCTCATAACTTCAATGTTTTGGAAACCCTCCAACTTTAGAAAATTTGGAAGCATTGAAAACTCGAAAAATTTCAATATATTCAGAATTTCCGATATTTTCAAATTTTTGCAATCTATTAAAATTATTAAATTTTTGGAAGCTCTCGAAATTTTTGAAATATCGAGAAATGTAAAAACATTAAAAATTTTATAAGCTTTCGAAGTTTTCAAACCAAGGTTTCTATAAATTTTCAACACAAATTTTATCAGATTCCCACACTTCTCAAAGATTGTACAGTTTTTAAACAGCAAAATTTTTGGTGCTTTAAGGTCATACAAATTTTCTAAAGTTTGAAGATCTAAATACTTGAAACTCTTGAAATCGAAAACTTCGAAATATTTTTCAATTTTGGTAGCTCTGAAAGTCCTTAACATTTTGGTTTGAACATTGTGAAAATTTTAAAATGTTTACAATTTTTTTAGTATTGAATCAAGATTTCCGAATTTTGTAAGCCTGCAGTTGCAGCTTTTGCAGCCTATTGTGAAAGGTACATGGTAAGGCTCACTCATCAAACGGCACTCAACTCTCGAATAACGTTAAAAAATGTAGCCCTTAGACTATATTTTGCGCGACTTAAATGTGTCTCGCCTGTCAGTCTGGTGAGACTTGAACCAACTTCTTGAGAATTCACAATAAAATTTATATTTTGTTTCTTTTCAGGTCCACGAAATTATGATATGGCCAACTGGAGCGCTATCATCATGAACGGCATCCATTTTCTTAAGCGCTTTATGTTTACTACAATTACAATGTTAAGTGTTTCAGTCATATGATCAAGTGCCACGTTATTCGAATCAGTCTCAGTACACCGTGTTACTGCGAGTATATTCACACGATTCGTCATGACACGATTTTTTTGCCCCAGTATTCTTAAAATTTAAGTACATCAGTATCTTCGAATTGTAAACATTCAATAATATGTCGCATAAGATTGTTAATTTTTAAGCTACTTAACAATATTGTCTTCCTATGTGCTCAAAGAACTGTTCTGTTTTGTTGTACAAGTGCGAAGTATAAATACTTATTATAAATATAAAAGACCGTTATTATCCTCACCACTTTATAAACCTGCCTTGCCGTTCAAGATCATTACCAGCAAATTACTAATATTTATTTATTATCCCTCGTAGATCAGATTAATGTGAATATAGTTTCAAGATAAACACACCAACATCGCTAGGTGAAAGTCAATATGTTGTTTAATTGGGGGCACTGAACTTCATCTGAACTTGTAATCAGTAGCAGCGATACTCAAAGAATTTGTGGCGTTGCATCCGGATATGGTCATGGAAAACAGCAAAATTGTCAACTTTGCTTTTAGCATCAAACTACCAGTGTTTATTGTATCGTATCAGTACGTGATGATGTAACAAAAAAAAGTGCGATCGGTTTCCTGCTATAATCGGTCATTCCACGAAGAGTCTTCTCTTGATATATCTACTCTTTGGTACGGGTCTTCCACATCTATGTTTGCGACTGTCAATATAACAACTTATACAGGGTGTTTCAGTTTATTGTTTCTAACTTCAAGATTCGATAGAACTTTTAAAATTAATGCATAAAGTCTATATAAACATGGGTGGAAAAATGCGTGGCTTCCGAAATACAGGGTGTTTAAATTTACTTTTTAAAATAGTTTTTCTTGAAACATTTCGAACAATATTTGATGTATAACAGTGGAAATTGGTATACAAGGGTTTTTTGGTACGAAAAAATGAACCATGGGCATAGTTTTACTGTAGCCGCTAGAAGGCGCTCTCTACTGTACTAGTGTATTAAAATGACCGAAAAATTTTTCTTAGTGCAACTTTTGGCTTTTTGAACAAAAAAACTGATTCCTCACACATTTCTGCATAAAAAAGCTCGTTTGTGAGTTTTCGGTATAGTTAGCCTTTTTTGAGATATTTCGATTTTTAGGGTTCGATGCATTTTTAATTATTTATGGGAAAATAATATTTTTTTTTACATTTTCGATTTGGGCATTACAAGTAATTAAGATGATCGTTTAGATTGTGTTTTTAAACACAGCAATAATTCCTAACTCCAAATAAACACAATAAAACAGAATATTAATTTGTTTAATCTTCCAATATTATTTTTAACAAATTAAATTAATTATTTACAACTAAAATGCTATTGGATAGTTAGGACAAGCATACAAAATCTAAAAGTGGTTGCTCGAAATGTAAACTCGATTGTTCAAAACACAATTCACATCTACGAATGATCGAACGTGGTATAGCATTATTCAAATAAGACCTTGTTTCATCACATGCATTCCTGATTCTGTCTATTAGCATATCTCTTGTGGTTATGGGAGTCTGGTACACTTTTTCTTTTAGAAATCCCCACACAAAGAAATCTAATGGATTTAGGTCAGGGGATGGTGGAGGCCAGGCGACTGGTCCTCCACGGCCGATCCATCTTTCTGGATAATTTTCGTACAGCCAGTTTCTAACTATTTTCGAATAATGAGCTGGACAACCATCCCTATTATTATCAGTTCTATTAAGAATGCACTGACAAAATGTGATTCTTCGTTCTCCGTCCCCTGACTGTAGTCCTTGCACAGGTTGCAAATGGTAAGGACGTCTATGGTCATTTCTAAGAACACGGTGAACATGGCTTGCTGAAATTCCCAAGGCACCAGAAACTCTCCTAACACTTTTGGTCGTATCTCTATCAAACTCACGCAGAATCATACGGGTAAATCTGCGCTGACAAACATTTATGTTTTGATCCCTTTGGAGATTTCCAAAACAATTTTCAATTATTTGGCGATGCACTCCTACAAATACTGAGCGAGTTGGATGTCGTCTGTTTGGAAATCTTCGTGCGTATTCTCTGGCTGCTTCTGACTTTTCAACGTAATTTTATCATAAGTAATTAAAAATGCATCGAACCTTAAAAATCGAAATATCTCAAAAACGGCTAACTATAACGAACATTCACAAGAGAGCTTTTTATGTTGAAAGGTGCGAAGAATCAATTTTTGTTATTCAAAAAGCAATAAATTGCACCTAGAAAAATTTTTCGGTCATTTTAGTACACTACAGGTACAGTAGAGAGCGCCTTCTAGCGGCTACAGTAAAACTATGCCCATGGTTCGTTTTGTCGTACCAAAAAACCCTTGTATACCAATTTTCAGTGTTATGCATCAAATACTGTTCGAAATATTTTAAAAAAACTATTTTAGAAACTAAATTTAAACACCCCGTATTTCGGAAGCCACGCATTTTTCGACCCATGTTTATATAGACTTTGTGCATTAATTTTAAAGGTTCTATCGAATCTTAAAGTTATGCAACAATAAACTGAAACACCCTATACAAACATGGTAGCGTCTTAAGATACAAGAACAATGTCTGTAGTCTGTATCAGGCCCAGTTTTCAGTCGCAGGGTAACGACGAATTGATCGTAGAAAATCGTTTTTCAATAGTATGTTTATAGTAAAACCGTAGTTATTATTAACCAGAGCTGCTTTCCAGTGGTTTTTGGTTTGGGACTGATATACTCCCGAACTATTATAAAAACACTGCACAGGAATACAATGTTCAGTGAAACGGTCTTGGCGCTGAGCAGTAACTTCGAGCTACTCTGAGTAACTCAGCTGGGTCACTGGAAAGCAGCTCAGAAGACCATGTATGAGTTAACTAGAAAAGCAGTACTATAATAGCAATCAATACCTGACGTTTGTTGGCATAGACGTTAGCGTTCATCCAGAAATTCACAAATTCATATTAGCTTATGGATAAACATTTGTATACCCAAATCGAAGGTGAAGCATGTTAATGGATTACGATGTGAATGCGTATAGCAGAGGCGAAGAGGTAAGAAGGCAAAAATCATCCGCCACCGGTAGAATTACTTTGATGTATTGGACGACCTGGATTTCCTTGCAAAGGCTGTAGAAAGAGAAATTTTCTCTTTACAGGATACTGTGCCACTTTTTTGTTCTTTATTATGCTTTTTTTTACTGACGTTATCGTTCTCCATGCTAGGAAAGTTTTTGATAAATGCTAGCACCTGGAAGAGCCGTATTCTATTCTCCGCCGCTGAATACCTTTATATTTGGGTTGTGCATTATAGAAGTGATCCAAAAAAGAAGGCGAACATGATTAGACACATTTTTGCCACCATTCCTACAATTCCGTCTATAAGCTCCACTACTAAATATTTGTACAAGCAATGTTTGAAAAACCTTACCTTGCTTGACGAAGGTTTCACTCAAGAGAGAGAGAGAAGTCATGTACGACACGTATGACAAAACACGCTCGCTGAGCGTACAAAACGCACAGAATACGATGTCTAAGAACCGCATGTGCATGGTTGCAGCATAAATATAAAATGAACTCATAGTAAGTTAACTGGCGCCGTCAAAAAGTTTCAAAAGGTCTTTACAGGTAACTACAAGCTCACTTCTGGTTTTGATTAACTAACCAGAAAGTTGACTTGCGATTAAATATTAAATAGCCGACATATTTTATTTTTTATTCATTACATTACATTACATATTTTGAGAAAGTGAGTGACAACAACAGTCCGGTATCACCCAATTTATAAGTTCGTGCAAGATCGAGTAGCAGTTGCTTCACGTATTTGCTTGAGCACCGTGCAGTTTCCTTTGGCGAAGTAATGCTACCTACGCACGCGGTACTCTTACTCAATATGTTTACAGTTCGTTTCACGGTTTCTGGTGAGTCACGCTAAAACTACTACCATTACTTTTATACATCCATCTCTCTCACACTTTGTACGCTCGCTTTTGTCTGTGTAAGCTTAGACTTGCCGTGTCTGATACACTATCTGTTAACATTGGTGTAGGATCATTGTTAGGACCTTTTCCGTTCTTGGTCTACATAAGTGACCTGGATCAATTAACTGCACCAGCAAAATTCACTATACAGGTATATGCTGATGACACCTCTATTGTGATTTCTGATAGATTAGAAACGTCTATACAAAATAAATGCAATACCGCAATGTTCATGATCAACTCCTGGCTTAACGGCAATAACCTTTGTTTATATACAGATAAAACAGCAATACCTCGTTTTTACAAGAGATAGATAAAGTAATTATGATGAACTTACCTACTGTAATTGTTGGGGATTCCTTTGTAGCTGCAAATAATGACGATGCGACAAAGTTTTTGCCTTCACATCGATCCATGCTCAAGTTGGGAAATATCACTGCAGTCCATTGATTTCTAAGTTATATTCAACTGCATTCTTGATAAATTATTTGAGATCAGTCCTCGTATTTGATCAACTATTGTTGTGAGGTACAAAGAGGTAAGGCTGGGGTATCTAACATGCATTTGTGTAAAGATTTGAAATGTCCATTTATGTTTATAAGAACATAAATGAATTTAGGACCGTTGGTGATATGAACAGTGTATCCACTAGACAGCGCGCTGACATGTACTTTCGACATCGTAGACTTAATTTGGAATATAATACGCCAGATTTCATTGAGTTGAGACTTTGTGACAGAATACCCGATAATTTAAGGAAAAGGGATGTTTTGTGTTTCAGGTTTCAGGGTATACTGAATAGAACATTTTTTCTATACAGTAGAAGAATTCCTTTGCACTTAACATTTCTTTGTTTTTGTCTTTTTTCGCGTTTTATTGTAGTCCTAGTTTAATCTTCATTTTTGACTTTCTCTGTGCAATGTAACATTGCCTTTGGAAAAAATATCATTATAAGTTCTTTAGTTTCGTTTCGCCACCTCAAAAACTTTTTCGCCAACGTGTGAGTATCCCTTATCGATGCTTGTCACTTAACATGACGGACTGCCTTTCATTGATCTTTGTAGTACAAAACATAGTACCTGAAAATATACTAAGTGACATATAAATCCGAACACCCAGTTTAAATGGTTTTATTTAATAAAATAAATTTTGTATAAGTACTTAATGAAGCATAATAAGTAAATGATAAAATTTCAAAATGATTGCACTGTTTTAAAGCCCTTTGACCTTTAACAATGTGTGGATGCACCCTGATGTGCTACGCATTTTCCAACGCGCCTAGGCATGCTTCTGATCAGGTGGTCAATGTCCTCCTGTGGTATCTCATTCCAGGCAACCACCAACTCCCCTCGAAGTGTTTCTAGAGCCTGAGGAGGACATTGCAAATTGAGCAATCTCCTACCCATCATATCCCACACGTGCTCAATTGGGGATAAGTCGGGAGATCTCGGTGGCCATGGTAACAATGTGACATCATTATGTTGAAAGAAGTCTATTGTGGCTCTTGCAACATGTGGTCGGGCATTATCTTGTTGGAAAGTTGGATCTGCCAGGGTGTGAAGATAGGGTAAATAAAATCGAGACTCGTCAGTAAAGACAATACTGTCCCATTCCTGATCCCAGAGTGACCGTTGTCTGCACCACTCAAGGCGATTACGTCGGTGTTCTCGAGTTAAAGGGACGACCCAGTGTGGCCTGTATGAAAACAAGCCAAAACTTCTCATTCGTCGCTAAACACTTCGCATGCCAATAGGTGTTCCGTGTTCTGCAAACCATTCATTTGCAATGGACCTGGTAGTGGAGAAACGGTCCCTTAAGGCCAATAATCTTAGGCGGCGATCCTCACGGTCTGTTGTTCTACGGCGGCGTCCAGTACCCCTTGCTCTTTGCGTACGGCCTTCTCGAAGCCATGCCTGACAACACCTAACCACAGTGTCTACACTTCTTTGCACTCTAACTGCAATTGCCCGAAAAGAAAGTCCAGCTTCCCGAAGTCCCACTATACGGCCCCTATCAAACTCACTAAGTTCACGAAATCGTACAGGTCTCCGTATTCTAGGCATCGTAACCGATCGTAAAGGATGTCAAGAACCAAAATCCGCCAACGTTGGTTCTTTACTGCGGCTGAAATATTCATTTTTAGAGCATTAGTGAATTAAAAAAAGCAGTATAAAAACCGGAATGTCCAACTGATAAGGCTGAACATTTTTTCACTTGTTATTTACAGTAAGATAAATACGTTCACCAACTTTTATTAAAATAAAACCATTTAAACTGGGTGTTCGGATTTATATGTCACTTAGTATACATCAAACGGACAATGTTGATAGTTTTTTGCCAAAATTATTTATTGGAGTATTTGTGTTTTATTAAACAATTCATGTGTACATGAACAGCTGCGTTTAAGATCTGTTTGCTCAATCTGCAATTCTCTTATAGCTTCAGTTCAGCACATGAGTTAGTCGATGAGCTTACTTATTTTGTACAGCACTGATGACGAATCCACCAATTACCATGAAAGGAACTATACTTATTCCATATGGCGTTGTGACAGCAAAAAACTGAGAAAGGAACTGTAAATGACGTCAAAGCCCCACTTCTTGAACTAGAGGAGAATAATCACCAGGATAAAACGGGCGTGGCCTTCGACCTTGTGCAATGATATCAAATTCTGACAGCTTTTGACATTTGTGATACCAGGTTGAGGATGGATAGTTTTTCATGAAAGTGTGTTGTCTGAAGACTGAAAATTGACAGATTTATTTTGATGCACGAGTTCAATTCTTCAATTCTGGTACTTGGTACTTGGTAAAATTAGATACAATGAAAGACGGAAAGAGATGATTAAACAAAAGAATTCAGAGGAAATAATAAAAATAGAAAATTTAAGAGATGACCCCATAAAATCATTATATAAAAAACGGTTAGAACAGAAGATAGAAATAGAAAATATCGAAAATGCAATGTAGAAACTAGCTGAAGAAAACTTAGAAAAAATATTCTGGACGCTGCCCGAGAAGCCCTTGAACGAAAATAATACACAAAAACAAAAGTGGTCATGAAAACACCATGGTTTACACTAGAGGTTAAAGAAAATGTCACCAAAAAAGAGCTTTCCTAAAATATAATTCAGATAAAATCAATGAGTCATATGAAGAATATAAAAGAATAAGAACTGAAATCCATCAATTGGTAAGAAAAACTAAAACGGATTACTGGGAAAGGTTCACAAAAGGACTAGATATGGCTTTCTATGGACAACAGAAACAAGTATGGCGCTTCATAAGACAACAAAGAAGCGAAATGAAAGAACTAGTTGAAATAGAACACATAAAAGAAGATACATGGTTGACCTTCCTGACAGAAATATTTAAAAAAGAAAACAAAGAATCTTTACCGGAAACGCCAAATGGATGTGAAATAAGGAATAAATAAATAAAAAAATAGAAAGTCACCAGGAGAAGATCAAATACCAATTGAACCCTTAAAGTATGGAGGTGATTACCTTGTACAACAACTGCAACTCCTTATTCAAAAAATAATCACCACGAACAGAACTCCAGATGAATGGAGGAGAGCGATCATGCTGATGTTATTCAAGAAGGGAGATAAGAAAGACCCCAATAACTATCGAGCAATAAATCTGTTAAATACAACACTCAAATTAACAACAAGAATAATACCGACAAAAGTAATCGAACGAATAACTCTTCAAGAGGAACAGCAAGGATTCCGGACAGGAAGATCATGCACTGATGCAGTTTTTGTAATAAGACAAGTAAGAGAAAAGCCGCTGGGATACAACAAACCAGCATATATGTGCCTGTTAGATTTGAAGAAACCGTCGCTGAGCCCACTAATATTTAATCTGATAATGGATGAAATCATAAAGAAAGTTAAAAAAAGAAGAGGATATAGAACGGGAGAAAAGGAAATGCAGATAATATGCTACGCCGACGACGCCATAATAATAGCCGAAAATGAAGATGATCTACAAAGGTTAACTAAAGAATTCGAAGATACGGCGCTCATATACGACATGGTGATTTCAACAGAGAAAACTAAATCGATAGTGATATCAGCGGAACCGAGACGATGTGAACTGGTCGTAAATAAAAAAATAATAGAACAAATGATGGGAATCAAACTGTCAAGCTATGGAAAAGTGGAAGAAGAAGTACAAAAACAAGTGAACATGGCGAACAGAGCAGCAGGATGTCTCAACAATAAAATCTGGAGAAACAAATACCTCACAACGGAAACGAAAACTGGGATATACAAATCAACAATAAGACCGATAATTACGTACACAGCGGAGACAAGAGCAGATACGGCGAAAACACAAAGATTATTGGAAACAGCAGAAATGAAAGTATTACGAAAATAACAGATCAAACTCTAAGAGACAGAGTAAGAGGTGAGGAAATACGAGCGAAATGTTGTATACAGGAAATAAACCTGTGGACCAAAGAAGAAAAATAGAATGGAATCAACACAGAATGACAGAAAAATAGAACAGTACGAATAGCAAGAGACAAATCGCCAAATGGAAGAAGATCAATGTACGAAGTAAAACTCGCACGAACCTATTAACAGTGTAGAAAGAAGAAGAGTTCAATTCGGTAGAGTATTTCCAGAGTTTCCCATATTTATGTATGTCAATATGACAATTGCACATTTCAGTAATTATAACTATAGATCGGGCCCTATACGGAAATTTTCGATACCTATTGGGAAATTTATATGAGTGATATCATAACTGCATCTAATTTTTCCGAAAAAATCAGCAAATGTTGCTAAGTAATATGCGCGAATGTTTTTTGTTAATGAAATATTAGATACTTTGCATTGTATTTTTTCGATTTTAATCACAGGAAAAAATTAGATCCCCGAATGGTATTTTACAAGACTATTTCATGAGTAACAGATTACTGGCGTCCTAGGGGACCATAATTACTTGTTATCAAGGGTATGGTAATTTTAGTGACAACCGCTGTCAGGCTTTGCCGTTGGTAAACAATAAGAAACTGCTGACAGGTGCCGTCATACAATTCTTCCATCTAGAAACCATTTGTAATTGAAAATTGCGTGTTTTTGATTGGTAGACACTAAGACGTGGGAAATAGTCGACAAAATAATAGGATCCTGAGTTCATCATACCACTGAATGTTTCATCTGAAAGTTAATTTTGAGATGAAACTTATATGCATGTAATAATGAGAAATGAACATTGCCTGACTAAAACAACTTAATATGTGCAAAGTTGGGATAGTATTCGCTCTGTACCATTTTTGACCCGCTTAGGTTTTGAAAGTTAGGTATTTATTCTTTCAAGTTTCATTAAAAGATTATCTGAAAAAATCTATATTGACTGGCCTATATAATAATTACTGAAAACAGGCGATCTCTCGGTACGGTATACGAAAAATAGTAGACAAAGTTAGCGTATCTCAACAATTATTTAATTTAGCCGTCGACATATCAATCTATCTATCTTTGAAGGTCAGTCACTCGATAGAAATCAGTTTTCAACGCATGTGCTGAAACACCTACAGTATCACACTACATGCCCAGTATCAAAAGATGATCTACAATTTTTCATGAAACAATCAGATTCACCTTATTCAACTTCCTCGAAAAATTATATCACAACTCTTAACCTTGAATTGGGGAGTGAAATTGAGAACAGTTCTTTAGACATCATAACAAGCAAAAAGTCCTTGAACAATCACATCTCGATACCTTGTTTAGGAGTAAAACAGTAAAAACATTGTGTCTTGAAGTGAGTCTTGAGGATAGATATTCATGGAAGGGACGTTGATTTTGTCGGTCGTTACTGTGTTGATCAAATAAAACTATGTTTTTTCACTTTTCCTTTTTTTGCCATTCTACAAGTTTTACTTTGCAATAATATGCATCGTCATTTGCTACTCCAGAACCTAAGGTTGTCTTATTTCAAGACAGGTCTTGTAAATGGCATTGATATCAGCACAAACAAAATTGGTTAGTATTAATAACTGCTTCAGTATCTATCCATCCGTTCTTGGCGGTTACGTCATCAGCGCCATATTAAATAAGTAAACCGATCGAGTCTCCATAACATGGGCGCAGACTAGTCTTCAGCACATCTGTTACTCTCTCTAGTACGCATCAAGTGGATAACGGGACCGGTGTTTTCATTCTCTTCCTGGAAATATTCTAATAATAAAGATTGATAACAGGACAACTCAAAAATTGCACACCGATGCCAAGTAAGTTGTCATTCTGGCAAATATGATTGAGGGGCACGTTACGACAAAGCTTTCGAGACGGGGACCAACAACTAAAAAAACGTATGTCTTTGAGCTCACCGATCAAACGTCTAAACACAGTGTTTATGAGAGAGAGGTGGATGTATGAAAGCAATTCCTGTAGTTCTACCTTGAACCGCCAAAAATCGAGAAAAGAACCATATCTACATATTCATCCTTCCATCCATCCATCCATCCACCCATCCACGCAACCACCCGCCCGCCTTTCGGTCCATCCATCCATCCATCCATCTGTCATAAAATTGGTCATATATACGTATTCCATCCCCCGTATTTTATTCGCGCGATATGAGAGCGCATCGACATGGTATTCTATTTTTTATACGATAGGATCACAACAGCTCACTTTCTGTATAAATAGAAACTGTCCTCGGTACAATCTAGTACGCACGGTAGGTTGCTGTTGAGTTTCTTCTTTGCTCCTTGCGGTGAAAATGGTGCTTTCGATGGACAGATGGGTCGGCAAAGTAGCCATAGTGACCGGAGCCAGTTCTGGGATTGGGGAGGCAATTGCTGAAAGACTGGCTGAACAAGGGATGAAGGTTTGTAGTTTTTTATTAACATATAATTGAATCGGCCAGCGCGAAAACCACTTAAGTCCATTTCTCACCAACATGCTTTTTTCAATGGAATTTTAAAAATTAAATGCGTATTCTGGGTAAACACTTTGCAAGTCACAATATTCTTTCCCTGTCAAATACGGAACTTACGTGGTTATTGCACGCGCTACTGGACTGAGAGTACTTGAATGGGTCATTTCAAAAACGGTATTGTTCTATTTGACCATTGACTCAATTGCTATATTTGTATGACTGGGAAGGTCCTTTATACAGGGTGACGGGAAAATAGATGCTGAGCCAGTGGGGAGAGATAGTACAAGCCAATCTGAGTCGATCTTACTATAGGAACTATTGTCCGAAAATTAGCCGTTTTCGAATTATACTAAGGTTTAAGATTTCATAAAATTAACGTCCTTTATACGTTAACCAAGTCATAAAAGTTGAAAATTGGGTGTTTCATTTGATGTTTTTTTGGTTTTACAATAAAAGTATTCTAAAATACGAAAATTGATACTCAAATGTACATTATTGGCGTTATCTCATGCAGTAAGCTTCAAAATAGTTCGATTTTTGTTAAAAAAATCTTCGTTCATCTCAAAAGCTTCAGTTTATTAGAAAAAGTCGCATACAAATTTTTCGTACAAAATAATTACCTTTCAAATGAGGTATAAAAATCGATTAAGAATTGGAAAAAATATGTCTATTGTAAGAGGAGGAAGGAAAAAGCAATAAAAATATTACACTTTCAAAATCATACCTTAATACAGGATAATTTGTTTGAAACTACATTTTGTTATTTTTATAATACATTTTTAATATGGCGCCCTCTAGATCTAATGCACACACGTGCTCTTCTTATGTCAGCTGATTTGACTACCGCCGAATTTCTAAGAGAGGCTTGAATTTCTTGTGCTGCATGTATTATCCTGTTTCAGAGGTCTTCTATCGTGGGTACAGGATTTTGATCAGAGTATACTAAAGTTTTCATGCGACCCCACACAAAAAGGTGTGAGATCGGGACTGCGTGCTGGACATGGGATTGGTCTGCCTCTACCGATCGATCGACTCGGAAACTGCTCATTTAACCAATTTCTAACACTTAGTCTGAAATGTGCTGGGCACCCGTCATGCTGAAAAATCATTATGTGTCTTGTGTGTAGCGGCACGTCTTCATGTAATTCAAATAGAACATTTTAGGGTAGGAAATGTGGTCCTACCAAACAGTTATTTATGATGCCCATCCAGACATTCAGACAAAATCGCCTTTAAGATCCTTTAGGTCTCTTCATATGAGGATTTCCCACTGCACGTTCACGCCAATAGTGAGCGTTATGGTAGTTTGTTATGCCGTCTATATCAAATTTTGATTCGTCGGTCCGTAGAATTTTTCAACATTAGCGTTTAAAATAAAAAGAACAAAATCGCATGCGCCTCATGGGACCTCCTTCCTCTATGACGTGCACAGGTGTGTAGTGGTAAGGGTGGAATATGTTTTCATGCAAAACATACCACATTTGCCATTAGGATAATCCAAGCCGTCGCGCCACAGCGCGAGTAGAGAGAGTATGTTCTCTTTAGAAAATATCTAATATTTCTTCTTCCTCTTCCACATCATGTCGAGGTCTACCTGCATCACCTGAAATAAAATGAAAAAACAGATAACAACAGTTTTTTGGAGGAAATTGTTACCTAATAAGTATAGCGGTAAGACTATGAGCTAGAGTTGGCAAAATATTATTTAGAAAAAACGATTACACAACGTGTGGATGTTTCCATCTTCAAAGCTGTGTAGATGCTAGGGTTAAAATTAAATGAATAAACGCTTAATTAAGAAGTTCAATCAACTGTATCAAAACAACTACGTTACAGTGTCATCAGTTCAGCCCACAGACCTCCAAGGCCTTACTGAATGACTGATTATGATAAGTTAATAATTATCAATGATGCAAGCTTACCTTGATATCTTACGGCGGTACCGCGCTGTCGAACCCGACAGGACGTTTGCCTAAATACGCGGGCGTCAGGTAGGCGACGATTAGGAAATATTTCCCCATACTCACGACGAGCTTCTTTAGCATTGCCTCTGGCATCTCCATTGTAGAAAAGGATATCGGCATATTCTTCGAAACTGAACGGCCACCTCCTTTGTTCATCAGCCATTGTTCATCGATAGGTAGATCAACGAGCAATCAAGTCACACAGCAGCTAAGTCGTAAGGAATCACAGAAAACAGGGTACAGTCTAGGTCGTCAGGAAAAGAATCACACACGGAAGTCCAACAAGAGCCAAGACGTTAGAAATATCAAAACAGCGAGCAAACAAACACATCCGAACGCAACAAATCGCAAGAGCAGATTGAAGCGAGGGAAGAAGGGGGGTGACTAGTCTTACTTATCACACTATTCCGGTGGCCAAGTCTGATGTTCGCGGCTCTACCTGTTTCTTTCACTCATATCTTTGTCATTTCTAAACCGGTTTGTCACTTTGATACCTCATTTGAAAGGTAATGAAACGTAGATATCTTAAAATTGTTTTGCACGAAAAATTTGTAGGTGATTGTTTCTAGTAAATTGAGTTTTTGAGATGAACGAAGATTTTTCTTAACAAAAATTGAACTATTTTGAAGCTTACTGCATGAGATAACATCAATAATGTACGTTTGAGTATCAATTTTCGTATTTTAGAATATTTTTATTGTCAAACCAAAAAAAAAAAAAATCAAATGAAACACCCAATTTTCAAGTTTTATGACTTGGTTAACGTATAAAGGACGTTAATTATATAAAATCTTAAAAGTTAGTATAATTCGAAAACGGCTAATTTTCGGACAGTAGTTCGTTTAGGAAAATCGACTCAGATTGGCTTGTACTATCTCCCCCCGCTGGCTCCGCATCTATTTTCCCGTCACCCTGTATAAAGCAGCTGTTCGGGGAGATACTATAAAGATGGAATCACCCTGATTTTCTTTTTCGTTGAAGAAATAATACTTTCTGACGCCTGCTACTCACATGATATCTCCTAGAACCGACTGCCGATCTTTAAACAAGTCTATGTATTTTTTGCGGTGGTCGATTCATGGTTTATTTGTAAAACGGACGATCCGACTTTCTCTCGCGTTCGCTTTGCTCGGGTTTTCTCTAGGTACCTCAGAACTATTCAAACATGCAAAAATGAGACATATGCCATTTCAGCAAATCAATATTTAAGTATAACTAATGAACGTATGATTAATCTGATTCTTTTATTTAAGTTATATACCAGTAGCCCTACTTCTTGCTAAATAAAGAAGAACTGTATGTTTTCCATAATTTAGAATAATTCAAATGCATCTAATATTCTCAGAAAGATAATAATGAGCTTCAACATTTTGGTGCATTTAAATATTTCATATATTTTCAACTTCCGAGATGAATATAATAATAACAATAATAATCCGGCTTATGTATAAAAAGGCGAAGTGTCGCTAAAAAGCGTTTTTCAACTTAACCCACCCCACCCTATATTACTTTTATAGAATGGATGCACTGTTGAAATTTTGAAAACCGTCAAACCTAAAATTCTAAAAATGGGCTCACTCAAAACTTTACAAGTTCCGAAAATCTTGTGAGATTTACATTAGGTTGATGTTCATTTCTATACATCTGAAGTACTCAAAAATTATGAACGTTCAAGGTGTTCTGAAAGTACTGAAAATAAAAGAGGCTTAACATTGCAAACATGCTAGGATTCTCGAAGGACATGCTCTTTTCAAACTTATAAAATTAATCTAGGTCAGTTCCAAAAACGTTTTCTGAGCTAACTATGAAATAACAAAAATCTGCATCCAACATTCTGAATAACCCACTATAGATGTATGGTGAGACGCACAGGATTATGGAAGCTGCTAAAATCGATCGCTTTAACCTGTTACTTCCTACGCTACTAGGCAAGGAAGTATTGTAAACAGTTGCGAGAATTATAGTTTTTTCGATGTTATATGACATAATAGATCACGTAAAACCACATCACTCATTTGCATCGTTCTGTCTCTGTCGGCTAATCTTTGGACCACCTATAACTTGTAAAGGAACTTTTGGGTTTGTATGTAGTAGTAGTTATTCCCAGGATGAAAAAGCTTTGTAGGTTTTGGAAATCGTACAATGACGGCGCAGCTAGGGGCAAAACACAAAAAAATCGCTCAGTCTCATTTTTCGACGTTTCAGAGCCGATTTCAGAGACTTCTGATCATTTTCAAAATAACTTTTCAACGGCTGACAATTTGATGTTGGTGGTGGTAGGGTGCGGAGAAAAGTATCTGCCAATTTTTTGGTGCTAACAATTCATACGTGTCCAACCCAAGTAATACTGCGCACTTATTTGACGTATTTCATACATCAAAGATTTTCCCGTACATTTGCCCTTATAGGTTGAATGCTGAAGATTAATCTCCGTCATATGCATGTTGGACAACTCAACCAGCGCGCACCTCTGTTTTACGAGCCCCTTTCCACTTCAGTTGGCCCGACTATTGAAATCTTAGTTTTTTCTTATCAAACACAAATGATAAAAATGTGACAGGGTGTTATAGGTTTAAAATATTAACAATGAATATTTTGATAATATACTTTGAAGTTGAGTCATTAATTTTCAGATAATGATTGTAGAAGGAAGATAAACCAAAATATGTGTGTAAAAATAAAAAAAAATTAAAAAAAAAATGTTACCTTGTTTTATAAAGTATCCTCCCGACAAGTATTTCAGTGCGGACCTGTGCGCAAAAAAGCATGTCACAAAAACTGTTCGAAATGATTTCCGTTTTGCTCGACGCACAGCTGGGCGCGTCTTAGCCATGTCTCTTTACAAGCACGCAATAAAATCACTGGTTGATTTCTGATCACTGTACTCATTTCCTCAATTCGAGCACGTAATTCTTCGCGTGTATCAACCGGTGTTTTATACACTAGAGTTTTTAGCCAACCCCACAAACAAAAGTCTAAAGGATTTAAGTCCGGAGACCTTGGCGGCCAAGGTACAAAACCGCCACGGCCGATCCAACGATTATTAAATTGTCTATTTAAAAATTCACGCACATTTCTTGCATAATGGGGTGGTGCCCCATCTTGTAAAAACCACATGTTTTGTCTAATATTTAAAGGCACATCTTCCAGTAAACCAGGCAAATTGTGTTGCAAGAAATCAAAATAATTTTCACCAGTTAAGCGATTTGGTAATTCAAAAGGCCCCACTAAAATTCCATTAACAATTCCCGCCCACAGGTTGATTGGTTCAAATCGCTGTTGAAAATTGGTTTCCCTTATTTCATGGGGATTTTCAATAGCCCAAACGTGAGAATTATGTGAATTAATAATTCCGTTTCTAGTAAAGAGGGCTTCATCACTCACTAAAATTTGATTTAAAAAATTGTCATCATTTTGATGTTTATTTAAAAGCCAATTGCAAAAGTCAACCCTTTGTTCATGATCTTCCGGTTGTAAGGCCTGCACTTTTTGTATGTGAAACGGATAGAACTGATTTTCACGTAGAGTTTTCCAAGTTTTATACTGACTAATCGCCAATTGAGTTGAAATTTGTCGGGTGCTTACTGTTGGATCATCACTTACTAATTCTAAAATTTGTTCTTCTAGTTCTATTTGATCGTGTGGTCTTGGAGCACCGGCATGATCTCCTCTGTGAGGTCTTAAGTCACCTGATTCACGAGCTCTTTGCACTACATTAACAAAGGCACGAGGGGTTGGTTGCACTCGATTGGGAAACCGATCCGCATAGATCCGTGATGCCGCGGCAGCATTTTGTAAAGACTCCCCGTAAATAAGAACCATGTCCACAAGTTCAGCATTTTCGTAAACATGTGCCATTTTTGATTTGAGCCTCGCAACAGACACGATTATTCACTTACGCGTTACCGACTACCGACTGATACTGACTGTATACAACTGAAGAAAATAATTGTAAAAAGATCGTTCCAAATTCTTTCGCTTTTTTGTTTCCGATGCGATGAACGGATAAGGCGGATTATATGTGTTGTTGCCAAACACGAGAACATAATATCATTATTGAGACAGGGCGGTACTCAAACTTCCAAAGGGCTATAACTTTGTTACTTTAATTTTACCAGAAAAATGGTAAAGGAAAAAAACATTTCTTTTGATCAGATCTACTCACTGTTAAAATAAATGACTCAACTTCGAAGTCACCCTGTATAGTGGAAAACACCAACCTAATCAAATTTGCAGCATAAAAATAACACATGTTGCAATTACAGCATATCAACCTATGTTTATTTCGATGCAAAATAAGTCTATAACGCATAGGTGGCTGTGAAAAATAAAAGCCATGACAATTGTTTTTATTAATCACAGCTGTCAGTATACGTTTAAAATAAATTTGGGTTGTTAAGGTTTCAAAATGGGTAGAGGAAAGGTTATTAGTGAGAAAATTCGGTTACTGATAATTAAATTTTTTAATTCTGGGAAATGAAACTCAGAAATTGCAACTTTGTTAGACTTATTGCGGTACAGTGTGAGAAATATTGTTAGAAGATATAACGTAACTGGTTCAGTAAATATTAAGCCAGGATATGTGAAAAAAAGCAATATCACAAATGCCGACCGAAGAGCATCAAGAAGAATAATCGTAAAAAACAGGCGTGCCAATTATTTACAATTAAGTGCTCTGTGGAGTGACGCTGATGGAAGGAGAATTTCGAGGTCCGCAACTCGTATAGAGAGGCCCACAAACTGGGATTTAGCACTTGCAAGGTAAGTTTTCTTATAAAAGAAAGTGAAGTAAAAACCCTAAAGTTGCGCAACTTGTTGATAGGCCAAAGAAAAGCCACTATTAACTCCACTGCAAAAGAAAAATCGGCTTAGATGGGCTAAAGAACATGGACAATGGACACCTCAATAATGGTGTGAAATACAATAGAGTGATGAGGCCCGATTCGAAGTTTGTGTTGGTGACAGTTGCAGTAGGGTTATTCGCAAAAAAAAAAAAATAAGCATTCCATGTTGACTGTTTGAAGAGAAAAGTGTAATTTCCAGCATCCATTATGGTCTGGGGCAGTATGTCATCGAAAGTAGTAGGAAAACTTCATTTTATTGATGGAAATGTAGATACAAACAAATATTTGTCAATTTTAGAAGAATCGCTTTTACCAGTGATGGAAGAATGTTTGACATCCGGCCAAGATTCTGTGTTTCAGCAAGATGGTGCAGCGTGCCATACCTCAAAAAAGGCTATAAAATGGACGGAAGAAAATAATGTACCACTTTTGAAATGGGTTTCTGGCAGTCCAGATCGGTCACCTAATGAAACTTTGTGACACGAGATGAAAAAGCTGCTACGACAACATCCTGCTCGTACAATCACCGAACTGAGACAAAAGCTTCAAGAAATATGGGATTGTTTTACACCAAATTTTTGCCAAAACTTGATTAACACTATGCCCCAAAGAATTTCAGCCGTAATGAAAAATAAAGGTGATGTTACCCATCGGTAATCTTTCAATTGTTGCTTTGTTAACTTCGCGCATTTATTCGCACATTGTTTATTTGTTCAGATGTTCTGTTAGTTATAGGTCTAAGTGATTTCAAATATGTATTTTTTACGACTAAAGTGTATCTAAAATGTTTTTCAGAAAATAAATTTTGAAGTAAATAGTTTCGTCATGTTTAGTTTATAAAGGCATATTTTGGGCCAACTGAAGTGGGAAGGGGCTCGTGGATGGCTAGGGATGACTAAGCCCCCATGCGTGTTTTCGTGTATAATATAATCCCGTACTGGGTTGCTACATTGCTGGATGGTCGGTACTATCAGTCGGGCGGTAGGCTAGCTCTCGTTGTTGGACTATAAACTGATTGTTTGATACATACAATCCCTTTTTACTACATGTCCGTAGCCAACGTTTGTCTAAGAAGGAACAACTTGTACCGAATATAATCCCTTATCAATTGATTACACCGTTCCTTAGGAAGTGCGTTGTCAACCTACTTGACGCCATTTTTCCAAGCTGAATGCATCTGATTTTAAAGAAACAAAGCGTCGAAACAAATAAGATTTAAAAACTGGAGATGTAAAATGCTTTACTATGTTAATATTTCCCGATTTCTTAATGCAATCACCTCAGCCCTAGTCAACGTAGAGACAAGATAACTGTATTTACTGTCATTAGTGACTAGCCTGTCACCACTGTACATTTTTCAAATACATTGAATTTATTGAATTTTGTTTTTATTAGGTAGTGGGGGTAGCTAGAAGAAAAGATCGCCTGGATGCACTTGCACAAAAGACATCCGGGAAAAAAGGGAAATTATATCCAATGCAAGGGGATGTATCTAAAGAAGGAGATATTTTGAAGGTATTCAAATGGACCAGAGATAATCTGGGACCAGTTCACGTACTGGTCAACAATGCGGGGGTCGGTTGTAAGTCTGCAATTGAAGACGGGAAGACAGAGGATTGGCTACAAACCATCAACATTAATGTAGTTGCACTATGTATGGGAATGAGGTAGGTATCTGTTTGACCTTCCTCCTCTCATAACTTCTAATAGTTTTAGAACCCGGCATAAGCTTTCTCATATAAAAATGCTGTCTAATCTTTTTCAAAATGATTTCCATCATAATAAACATACTCCACCCTGTGCAAGAACCAATAACCAAACCAGTGCTCACGCTCCTTCTAAATAGAGTCATACAATTTCTCAGCTCGTCTTCGGATGCAAACTTGTGCATTTTTTCGCTGTGACTATCTTCTATTTGCAAAGCACAATTTTTTCCACTAAACCTTCTTTGACTTTTAAACCACCCTATATAATTCAACCAATACCTCGTATAGCAACATTCAAGGCTCGTACTGTTTATGCGAGTATGTGGTTGGAGTGTATTTATGTTTGGTTGCGCCCTGGTGTGGACGGCCTGACCTTGGATCGCCCTCATAGTTAAATAAGCTGCGCCTTAGATTTAAGAGCCCTCTTGGGATAATACGTAATTCGTAATATCCTCACCAGATACTTTGTTTTCATTTCACCGTTACATTCTTAGTTGATGGACTATCGCGAGAATAGTATCACTAGAATACTATTAATTTATTTGCGTTAACAGCTGGATATCTAATCTTTGTATTTGGACCGACCAAAGGACGTACCTAAAATGTAAAAACAACCAAGCTGCGTTGTGGCTACTTGTCATAGAATAATCTATCCTGAAGAAAATGCAGTTTTAATGATTAGCCTGAATATGCACAACGAGCTTACTATTACCATAATCGCTTTAAGACAGTGATAGTAAGTGTTAATGCAACCGCCAAAATGATATGTCAATAGCTAGCATTGACATGCCTACCACTAGCAAAGTTGCATTTTTTCCAAACAAGTGCTGTAAAACGCTTACTTTTGCATTAAAATATTGAAAAGTGTGATCGTTTTATAGATTGCATTCTTCTGATTAAGTATAAATAATTACAACCGTTTGAGAAAGCTAGACACACAAGTCTAGAAATCATAAATTATTTTAAAAAGATAACATAACACAGTAATTTCACTTGCGGTGTTCCAAGGCTTAACTTATTAATTTTAATTAGCCTGAATATGCACAACGAGCTTACTATTACCATAATCGCCTTAAGACAGTGATAGTAAGTGTTAATACAACCGCCAAAATGATATGTCAATAGCTAGCATTGACATGCCTACCACTAGCAAAGTTGCATTTTTTTCCAAACAAGTGCTGTAAAACGCTTACTTTTGCATTAAAATATTGAAAAGTGTGATCGTTTTATAGATTGCACTCTTCTGATTAAGTATAAATAATTACAACCGTTTGAGAAAACTAGACAGACATGTTCTGAATGTGTCAATGACCTTAGTTGTTAGAACGATGTGGAATCATGAACAGTTCTGTATTGCAATGTTGTCTAGAAATCATAAATTATTTTAAAAAGATAACATAACACAGTAATTTCACTTGCGGTGTTCCAAGGCTTAACTTATTAATTTTGAAGCATCTGGAGTTTCGATCCATTTTTACTACTCCTTATTCCAGAACCTGCTCCAGTGAAGTTGGTGTTAAGAATAAAATCCATTGTCAGTCATACAAAAATAAATAATAAACGCAAACTTTATTAACAAAGGTTTCTTTGCAGAGAAGCGCTGAAAGATATGAAAGAGCACAACATCGATGGACACATCTTTAACATCAATAGCATTGCAGGACACTATGTTTTGAATTACCCAAGGATAGAAATCTACACAGCTACCAAACACGCTGTCACAGCTTTGACAGAATCAATGAGGAAACAAATGGCAGTGCAGATCTCAAAAGTCAGGTTTACGGTAGGAGCTTCAAACTGACACTTGATAAAATGGTTTTATGCAAATGATTATTCTGTGGAAAGAATTACATATTTTTGGGGCACCTATATAATAATAATAATAAAAAAGGTATAAAGAGTCCTCTTTGCTTAAATTTTGTCGAAGTACCCAACAAAAGGCGGAAGCTTTAATTTTTCACCTATATATATATATATATATATATATATACTAAGTGACATATAAATCCGAACACCCAGTTTAAATGGTTTTATTTTAATAAAATTTTGTATAAGTACTTAATGAAGCATAATAAGTAAATGATAAAAATTTCAAAATGATTGCATTGCTTTAAAGCCCTTTGACCTTTAATAATGTGTGGATGCACCCTGATGTGCTACGCATTCTCCAGTGCGCCTAGGCATGCTTCTGATCAGGTGGTCAATGTCCTCCTGTGGTATCTCATTCCAGGCAACCACCAACTCCTCTCGAAGTGCTTCTAGAGCCTGAGGAGGTCGTTGCAAATTGAGCAATCTCCTACCCATCATATCCCACACGTGCTCAATTGGGGATAAGTCGGGTGATCTTGGTGGCCATGGTAACAATGTGACATTATTATGTTGAAAGAAGTCTATTGTGACTCTTGCAACATGTAGTCGGGCATTATCTTGTTGGAAAGTTGGATCTGCCAGGGTGTCAAGATAGGGTAAAAGATGGGGTTCTTGAACTTCGTGGATATAACGCTGCGCGTTCATGATGAATATTAAAGGTGACCTGGAACCATAAGCTATAGCACCCCAAACCATAACTCCAACAGTGTGATGAACATGTCTTTCAACAAAAAACTGTGGATTCCTCCTTTCACCACGTCGCCTTCTAACCCTGGCACGACCATCATGCATGCCTAAACAAAATCGAGACTCGTCACTAAAGACAATACTGTTCCATTCCTGATCCCAGAGTGACCGTTGTCTGCACCACTCAAGGCGATTTCGTCGGTTAAAGGGAGGACCCAGTGTGGCCGGTATGAAAACAAGCCAAAACTTCTCATTCGTCGGTAAACACTCCGCATGCCAATAGGTCTTCCGTGTTCTGCAAACCATTCATTTGCAATGGACCTGGTAGTGGAGAAACGGTCCCTTAAGGCCAATAATCTTAGGCTGCGACCTTCACGGTCTGTTGTCCTACGGCGGCGTCCAGTGCCCCTTGCTCTTTGCGTACGGCCTTCTCGAAGCCATGCCTGACAACACCTAACCACAGTGTGTACACTTCTTTGCATTCTAACTGCAATTGCCCGAAAAGAAAGTCCAGCTTCCCGAAGTCCCACTATACGGCCCCTATCAAACTCACTAAGTTGACGAAATCGTACAGGTCTCCGTACTCTAGGCATCGTAACCGATCGTAAAGGATGTCAAGAACCAAAATCCGCCAACGTTGATTCTTTACTGCGGCTGAAATATTCAATTTTAGAGCGTTAGTGAATTAAAAAAAAGCAGTATAAAAACCGGAATGTCCAACTGATAAGGCTGAAACTTTTTTCACTTGTTATTTTCAGTAAGATAAATACATTCACCAACTTTTATTAAAATAAAACCATTTAAACTGGGTGTTCGGATTTATATGTCACTTAGTATACATAGAGCAACCCGCCTATAATGGATTCGGCGGGACTGTGACAAATAGTCTATGAGAAAGAAACACTTTTTTTAATGAAAAAACCAGCAGAAATGACATATCAAAGGCTTAAAATGTGTTTGTTTAACATGTATTACTTAAATAAAGATACATACAAAAAAGTTATACGTAATTTTGAAATTTGCATTTTTTCCGGATCTGATACAAATATTACAGGCATACGTACTGTGAAGGTATGTGTAAGATCCGTGAATTATTTGGTGAAAAAGCTAGTAATTTTCATTCGAACAGACTGTTTTTTGTATAATTATTTAGAACAGCAAGTTGAATTTTGTTTAATTTGGTTTGTGTGGCTGTGCTGCCTTCTTCTTGCTGAAAATAACTTTTTCACGCAGACTAATGCCTCCTTAGTGGTCACTGTCTTCCTGTTCGGTATCAACGGATCCTTCATTAACCAAACTGGGTCTGACAATTCCTGTGCTGCTATTAAATTGTTGTCAAAATTTACATACTCATTAAATTTGTCTATATTCAGTAAACTATTAATTTTCAGTAAATCATTTAATGGAATTTAATGTTCTGGATTAAAATCGTTGACTATTTCAGTTATGTTTTTCACTAAACCAGCATGGCGAAGACAGTTACGAATCGTTTCTGGAGAAACCAATTCCCATGCAATATTAAGGAAATTTGTAGCAACTAAAATGGTGACAGCTTTGGTGATGTTGTCATCTTCTTGAAGCTCCATAATTTTCTGATGCATTTGTATAAGACTCCAAATGACACCCTGGTCCATGGGTTGCAGAACTGATGTCACATTCGGTGGAAAAAATTGAAGGCTGATGTTATTACGTGAAACATTTGGATGGGCGGTTATCCACCAGAGCAAAATTTTTCGATTCTTGTTAACAATTTCAGCGTCCCACTTTTTTAAATATTCTTCAAAAATTGATGAAGTCATCCAGGCTTTATTATTACCAGCATAATCGACGGGAATTGCTTTAACGGTTTTGAAACACATGGGATTTTTAAATTTCCCTGAAATAAAACAAGGTCATAAATTCTTTGCAGCACTGCCATTGAATATCAAAAAAAAGAGAACATGAAATTCTATTTATTCACTTACCCATTATCAATAGTTTCCGCTTTTCAGTACCAGAATCATTAGCACAAATCAAAACAGTTATTCGCTCGTTTGATAGTTTCCCTCCATTGCAAGTTTCACCTTTTAATTTATGAAAAAAGCTAGCTACGAGCATGTATGAGGAAATATATAAAAAGAAAAGATGCTTTTTCTCGCTCTTAAAAAGGTTTGTCTAGCCGATGATTGACAGTCCAGACCCGTTCGAGCAGCGGAGGCCGACTGCTAGGCAACATTTATCCGCAGGACCGCAAAACACGTATGGTCGACACGCGAGGGTCGGAAACATTTCACCATCATTCTAAGCTTTACTTTATGCATCTAATAGGTGCATAGAATTATCGCGGCTGGATACGTATAAGTATACCATCGTCAAAAAACCCTCCCCCAATCCCTACAATCTTCGACAACGTAATTTTTATCGCTTAAATTTTTTCCAACAATGATCAGGATCCTAAGAAACGTAAAAAAATTAATTTTTAACGATTTTTGCTTTTTTAATTTTTTTTGTACTAGCTCTGTCGCCACTCGAACGATTTTCAAAAGCTATTAAGTTTTTTTGTTCTTGGCATAGTAGTAAACTTTTTTGGGAATTCCACCAAAATCCGATCAGTACTTTCCAAGTTATAGCGAGGTCAAGCGGACAGACGGAATTGAGTGACATGGTATTTCGTGTTTTGCATGTCACATAACATTACAATTCGATTACAGTACTCTCCATTGGCGTAGGTAGTAAAAAACAAAAATTGTTATGACTTAGGGGATTCTGGGTTCCAGGCTATCCACTTCTAACTTTTCTCTTGAATAACGTATGTAATTTCAACGATTGTAAACATATATAGTGCTTGTTTACAGAGTATCAGCCCTGGTTTGACTGATACAGAAATGATAGAAGATGCTAAAAAGTTGAACCTGATAAAGGATACTTCACCAGTTCTGTACCCAGAAGATATAGCAGATGCCGTTGAATATGCCTTATCTACACCTCCCCATGTGCAGGTAACTATCACCTAAAATAATACGATATTTCCTTAATAAACCTAAATGTACATACCAAGAAGTGAAAGTTATCGATGTTAAGAATGTCTGGGTGCAAGGCCAGCTGCTAGGTTGATAGGCATGTCAAAACATGAATGAAGTGACCTCGGAAATGGCTAGGTTTATGGAAAGATCAGCAATCACCAACTTGCATCTATACAGGGTGGACAAGCTAAATTATTTCATTTCTGTATTTTCAGGTGCACGAAATTATGATTCGACCAACTGGAGATGCCCTTTGAATTGCTTATCCGGATATTGAGTTGGGATTTTATTGTGTTTGTGTCATAATATTCATGTTGAGTAATACAATTTCAACCTTTCCTAGAGTTTCAAACACTTTGTATACAGCCAGCGGAAATGGAACACCTCCAATTACTCATAAATGTCATTTGATACAGAAATTCACTTGGATCACGGGAAAACATTTAGTGCTTATTATCAGTAAATATGATACAGACCTTATTAAAAATCTATTTCAGAGTGTCAACATTGATATGGTTTTGTCTCCTAGGCCCCCCATTTTCTCTGGAGTACAGCAAGGATCTGTACTTGGACTACTGCTATTCATTTTATATACCTCAGATATACAAGCCACTGTAAAACGTTGCAGTATTTAGTTCTTTGCTTATAATTCTCAAACATATAATCAGTTTTGTAGTTTTAAGCCAAATCGGAGGTCCATGAGGATCTTAAATCTATTAGTGAGAACGCAAATAGTCATAACCTTCGGCTAAGCTACTCGAAATCAAAAATTGTTATTTTTTCACCATAACCTTTTAGGAATGATATAAAAAATGACTTTGCTATAAGCCTAAATTGGCAAAAAATTTGGGTATTACTTTTCATGAATGTCTTAAGGTTATACCACACGTCAAAAATATAACCAAAGGTTGTATTTCCACTCTACGCCAACTATACCCCACTAGTGATGCCAAAAATCACTAATATTAACATATTTTGATAAATATTCTCTATGATTTGCTCAAATTTACAACTTTACCTCACAAAAATGTTTTCATGTTTATATTTTACTTCTTTGTATACCTTCCTGTTATACTCGTATTTTATATTCTCAGTCAAGATACTTTTATACAAAATATTTGTATAGCTGTTTTTATACACCTATGTTTTAGACTATTGTTACATTGACTTTTGTTTTGCGTTATGTATTTTCTGCATTTATTTTTAAAGTTGTGGTATAATAGCACTGTGCTAAACTTTGCCCCTATTAAAGACGATGATTATTATTATCACTGTTATTATTATTATCGGTCTTGTCGCTTTGGTGGGACGAAATCCGACCATTAAAACCCAAGGGTATCAGACGTCATGTGATACCTCATTTTGTAATTGCTCATTAACTTTGTAGTTCTAGAATATAAAACCAGTAACCTTCAAAATGGTAAACTGGCCGACTGTCAAAGTTCAGTTTTTTTGTACATTGAATCGCTCATAGCTCAGCAACTGTTGCTTAAAGCTTCGCAGGATTTTATAAAGGTCTCCTTCTTTTGGAAGGTTATATCCAAAAATGTGATAAAATATGGAATATTCCACTCAAAAATATTGACATAATCATGTTTTATTAGAGCCCGCCAGAAGAAAAAGATTGATATGACGTTTTGGGCATTAGTTGAGTTATCGGCGATTCAATATACAAAAATGCTATACTTGACAGCTTGTCAGTTCACCATCTCAAAGGTCAGTAACTAAAATTTTAGGCCCATTAAGTACTCATATGTAACTTCAGAATGAGGTATCGCATGATCCGTGATCGCTTTCCTGATTTAAGGTTTGTATTTCACACCACCGAGAAGTTGATAAGCGGAAAATATTTCCCCCTCGAAATAGAAATTAGCCTGTCCGAGCGAATTTTTCTCCAAAATGCCATTCATGATAAATTTGCATTTTCTTCTTGTTACTTATGTATGCTGGATGACCCAGAAGTCTTGGAGCAACAAGATATTTGAGACTATTATGGTAAAAGTTTCATAGCAGCCTCTTCCTGCCGCTACAGTTATTGTCTAGCGTTTTAAGTTGAGACCTTGAATATAATTAGAAAGGTCAAATCAAGTTAAAGACAATCTTTGACCTTAATTCAACCTCAAAGATCATCACTGATTAGTATGCAAGAAATCCGATCATCATGCTCTCAACTTGTATCTGTCTTCTTCTGCAAAGTGCTAACAGCAAGGTTTACATTTTTTTTATGTGGGCATTAATAATTTTTCATTCCGTTTCATAAAAGTTAGTAAGGTAAGTGATTTATTGGACAGTATTCGGTGTTGACATTAGGTATACTTAATCTTAAAAAATAAACCTACATTATTTTCTTTTTCAAATATTAGTAGGTTACCTCATTTTTCTAAGGTTTTTGAAAAGTTCCGATGCCTTGTGTTGTGATATTTTCTTACTTACTTACAACTTTTTCCTCATTCAAGCGACTTCGTATGTCTTATTATCTTATTATGCCTAAGATCCCAATGGTGAGAGTCGAATTTGAAACACCGTGTATGCATCGTGCTTTAAACAAAACAAGACCTCGGTGAATCGTACCACAGCGCTTAGTTTTACTTCAAGGACACGTCAGTTTCATGGGACAAACGTAACCACTACCTCAACTATGTGCATCAAACCCGTACAGTTCCTAAGAATAGCATAAGGAGATCTCTCCGAGAGGGTGAATAAAACCCTTACCTTTTCCGTTGTGTCCGGGACCTGGACAAATGGACGCACATCAATAAGCTGAATCCGCTCAAGAAATTGATTTTGCAGCCTCCGATAGCCTCTTGAAGGTGGCCGGTCTTCCGAACCCTCATGGAATTGCGGATTCAATAAAAGAGAATTTTACCTAAGGATACGAAGGGAGGGTGGCAATTTTTTACTGGGCTGTGGAACGGGCTTCCGATTGTTGAACTTTATGTTGATTCTCGGGACGTTTGTCATTATTAGGTCATCGAGAGGGAGGAGAAAACTACGCTCCTCGGTGTACGTGTTGCAGTCAAAACATGTAATAACCGGCAAATGAGGTTTGACCGACGTTGTTAGTCAAATCTGGTTTTGACTGACTCAGGGTACCGACTATCGGTCAAAACTCACAGTAAGTTAAGATAGTTACTAACATTTATCAGAACAATAATCAAACAGTTATAATTTAACAATTATTAAGGTGTTTATTGTACATATAAAAAAATTAATGGATATGGCACGAAACCTGTTAAATATAAATGCGCAGCCATCCGACCTCAATTATTTTTAGGTGGAAACCACTTTATATTTTAGTCTGTGGAGGATAGAGCTGTTTGCGTTTGTGGGCTTTGACAAGCTTTTAATTAAATTGACATATTATGTCATGTATGTGATGATACATAATAAATTATCTGTCGCCATTTTGAATTCAACAAGCGGATGCTAAAAAACTGTGAATAATGAGAGAAACGCAATAAGCTCCGTGACGTCATGTTAAATCCAATATGGCAGCCGCCTCAAAATGAGTCTTGACTGCAACGTATACGACAAATGCAACGCGAGTCAATGATGTATAAACAAAACAAAAGATGCATGCTTAACAAGAAGCTATCAAAACGAACTGAAAATTCAGCAATAATTCTTTCAGATTGGAAATATGCTGTTCTATACTTCATAACCTTCAAATAGTATTGAAGCTTTTCCTTCTCAAGTTTTCAAATGAAAGCGTGAACCTTATAACATTAAGAGATGAAAAGTGTATAATACCCATTTATTTAAAAACTAGAGGCATCATTGTTTAAAGGTTATGGTGTATAAAATGTTAAATTTTCAATAGGAAAACGTATTTCTGAATTTTTAACTCGTTTTAACAGCTAAATAATAATAATAATAATAATAATAATAATAATAAGTTTATTCACGTAACATACAAATATAACTAAAACTAACATAGCTATACGTAAATAAACTGAATTTACCCACAGAAGAATAAATTCCTGTGCGTGGGTATTAACTTACATTTTTACATGAATATACATATACACACGCACACACACATTCACACACACACACACCCCATATACACCTATACACATATACATATATACATATATACATATATACATATATATTCATAAAAATAAACACATAAATAGATGCACACATACACACATATACGAGTATATGTACGTTGGAGGGTTTTTACTATTACATTAATTTTATATATTTCTTTCATACGTATCATGTTTGCAATTTGATGTCGATTTTTATCAATTATAGATTTTTTTGGTTTCAATTTTGAATTTTGTGTTATTTGAAATATTATATTATAATAAAAGCTTGTTTTAGAAAAATGTATTTTTGTTTTATTTGATTTTTACTTTTCAGTAGTTATGTGAAATGGCTAGTTTTATAGCGGCCTCGCCTTGACTTAAGTCTGTGAAGGCTTAGTTGTGCATCATTCTTGCCGTGAATAAATTGTGAACTGTCGAAATGAGCGAGTTCGCCAGGTAATTTTATCTCCGAATGCTTCACTGGTCTCCCGATTATTTATAATCAACAATAAGATAAAATATGCCTAATTTGTGTATCTTATTTTTAAATTAAACTTGATGCTTGCTGATATATTTGCCGTCAGATACTTGAGTGCACCTTTAAAATCTTTGTAATGTTGGGTTATCTTTGTTTACACTTGATGTATAGTATGAAATGGAATACAACTAATCTGTGTTTTTGTTTTCTGTTCAAGTAGACTTGTGCCTCTGTTCTGCTGATATATTTTCGATCAAAATACTTGAGTGTTCCGTTAAAAGATCAGAACATAGCTATTAGTTTCTTCCGATTTTTAGCTGACGAGCCTTGACGCTCAAAGAGGCCGCAGAACGTGAGACGGGCCAGTTGTCATGTCAAAACCCAACGTAACATGTGCTTAAAATGATTGTCGTAGCCTGACAGGAAAATGGCAATATCTGACATCATTGCTATGTTAAACCTGATTTTTCGGTTTGTAATGTAATTTTGACAAGTTTATCTTTCATGTTCATGCCAGGGTTGCGTTGATGACGTTTCATCCGGAGAACAGGCATGCTATTAATTAATCGAGGAGCGAGGGAGGGAGTGTATGACCGTGTTCTTGTGTTTCGTTGAATCATATCAAAAATATACTATTTAAGAATTTGAAAAACTTTCTGGTGGATTTCGTAATAACATCGGTAGTTTGACGTCGAGTCTACCAAATTCGGTAGACCTGGTGCCACCAGTCAGGGTTAAAACAATTAACTCAGATGAGCTAACTCTAGACATTTATAGAAAACTAAAGTTGAATTATCCTTGCGTTCATTATCTCCACCATCCACCAACAACTAAACAATTTTTATTTTTGGAGGCTGGAGACATTATGCAACTACAAAGATGTAGAGATTGCCACGTTTCACACATATCGGTATTCTAGGACGAAGGAGAGGACATCTGTTTTGATTGCTGTGAAATTCATTAACCCGTAAGTTAATAATAAATGATACTTTACCATTATGATCTAACAAAATATGAGAAATTGGTTGGAATACATTTAATATCCCATATTCCTGCAAAATACAGACAAATCTACAAATCCGATAATGATAAAATGTAATCGCTCAGTATATAAAGCTAAACAGATTCATGATTACCGTACATTAATAGACGTCGAAACATGCTATTAAATTTAATAGCTGGAAATTCGACCAACTACTTTCTTCACTTTCACCGCTGGGTCGTTAGATTCAACGTTTATTTGTAAACAGCAACATACATGACAGTTGTCCTATCATCTCTGTACAAAAGTATAATGTTGGAATCAGAATGATGTCTTTTTTATAATACAATGACTTTTTCAGGATTTTGTTCAAAATGTCAATAGAAATCACTGATATCCAGAGAGCTTTGACAGCCTTCATCAATCCGCATTAGGATAATGTCTTCCCTCATTGGTAGAAGTGATCGCAACATTTTGATGCTGGCGAAACCCTCTCTTACTGTTGAGAATTTATGGGTTTCTTGATTAGCAGGTCTTATTTCATAAAAATGCATTAGCTACTGCTTTGATGCAATGATACGAGGGATGTCTTTTAGAAGATTAATACAAATCTGCAAGCGCTCGAACCAATTTTCGAAGCACTTATTCCACTCGTTTGCTGGCAGATCCAAAACGGCATTTTTGAAACCGTCAACTGCTTCGTCTGGTGACTGGAACC